TAATAATAATTATAATTTTATTGGCTCTGCAGTCAAATTTAAGCAAATAAATTTAATAATTTACTTGCACTTAGTAGCGCTTCAATCACTGCCCATGAACCAATTATATTCAAGCACCTATTTTATGATTTTAGGGTTCCCGTAATACTTTTAGCAGTGGTAGTAATTTAGGATACAGCTACAAGATATTTCTTATTGCCGGACAGGTGGCAGAGCGATTAGCGCTCCTGACTGCGAAGCGAATGGCTGCGGGATCGAATCCCGCTCTGGGCATGGATGTTTCTCTCTCTTGTGTTGTCCTCTGTTGTGTGTGATGTGTGAATGTAGCCCACCCTATAAACGGGTTTGTGGCGTGGGTAATGTTGCTCGCCTCCGTGACTTTGGTTCACAGGTGCCCACTGGGTAACGTGAAATGAGTAGCAATTTCGGCATCTTCCAGGGCGAAGAATAATGTTCAGTGCCTGCCATTTGAAAAAAAAAGATATTTCTTATTTTAACACTTCACTTTATCGTTAAGTAGTTTAGAAATTCGAATTTTCATGCATATATACTTCCTTTGGAAAACAGCTTTTAGTAGTGCTTACACAGAAATTAAAATATCGACATTTGTTTTATTTTCTTTACAACTTTTAGAAATTTTCAAGACCCGAGGGAACCCTGTATATTTATAATGGTGCTTATTCTTTAGCGAATAGAATTTTCCAGAAGACCCATTAACTAACGTTGAAATAAGAGACGCTGAAGTAAGAAAATATAAAATTAAATAACTGTTAATTTAATCTTTTTAATTAACTAAAAAAATAAACCATGAAAAATTTTTAACAGTTTTGACATGCAAAAAAAAAAACTTCTAAAACGTTTGCTGCAAAAAAAGAGATTTTCATAGTTAGCATAGAAATGTTTCCATTATTTCAATCAACCCCTGTAATATTTTATCAACCTTTATTACAAGGTGGTCTGTAATATCTAATATATATAATTCTCTTTCATTTATTTGAATTCAAATTTATTCTAATGACTTAGTATTTACTGAAAGTTGTTATATGGATTTGAATGATTGTTTTGAATTCTTAGAATTTTGTGCATTTGCAATGTACCTAAGTTAGTAGCGAGCGAAGCGAGCTTGGTTTGCTAAGCAAACCAAATAAGATTGCGTAGCAATTTTCGGGGGTTAGCGAGCAGGGGGCGCAGCTCTCTAGTTTTAAATATTACTTTTAAGATTTTGTCTTACTGTGGCATTCATTTTTGTATTGTTTCGCTCCTTTCAAGCAAGTACATCTGACGAACCCATTCCATGAATATTCGCATTTTTTAGATAGTTCACCACAGTTACAATCTGAAAGACATTAAAATAATAAATTATTATTATCGTCTTTAAAACAATGGATGATGCATAATACTTTTTGGAAAAAAGAAGTATATAATGCATTTTTTTTTAAAAAATGCCATTTAATGTAATTTTTGTGTCATTAATTCTATCAGGAAATAATTGTACAGTTGTTTTAACTATCAAATAATCCTTTGCTACAAAATTTTGTATTACAAATTAAAATTTATAATTTTAAATCATGACTAAATTATTTATTCTAAAGAATAGTGTATTATTCAATTGACTGTTTAGTAATAAATGTTTCTAATTGCACTTCTTTAACTGCTTCAAAAATCTTGTTTACTTTCATTACTCAAATTCTCTTTGTGGTATACCTATCTCTACGGATATGGGACAATTTGACGCTATCGCAATTTAGGCAAAATTTTGAGTAAACATGCAAGCATCACATCAATAAAAAATCGGAATATACCGACAATACTTCGATCCATTATTCGATATCGTTATTTCCAATGAAACAAGCGATACACAACTGTTGCCGATAAGCAATAATAGAAAGAACAAAAGCAGAATGTCAATTGATGTCGAAGTGTCAGATTTTAAAGGTTTCAGTTGCTTAGTTCGAGTATTGAAAAATAAAATAATACTAGAATTTTTCATAAATAAATATCTCTTATTCTCATTTGCTTTCTATATAAAGTGATGCCAACTACTCCGGACACGCCGAAATAGTTTGAAAAACGGTAAATAAGTACTAAGAAAAATTTTGGAAATATAAAGTGGTGAATTATATAAGCCTATAAATTATTTAGCATTATTATTTGGTGGATAAAAATGTACTATATTGAATTTATTAAACCAAGAATCACAATTGATAGACTACCACTTTAAAACATATATTTGTTGTCCAGAGCAAGTTGGTATATCTGTAAGTGCTGTTATAGTATGTATTCGTTCATGCGTCAAATTGACACGTGTTCGTAGGGATAGGTATATGAGAAACGTCCGTAAACCTAGTGTTAAAAGCTCTGATGGGTAGATCTGAATATTTAAATTTTCAGTTAGTACCCTGTGGTCGGTAGACTCGAATAGCTTAGTAGCCACTTTCTCTTCAAACCAAATAGTTCGGGGACAGATATCGATAGGTCCGGACCTTTTCCTTTAATGGCCACTTTTTGCAAACTTTCATTTTGTTTGGACTAAATCCTCTTATAAATTATCTACGGCTATAAAATGGCTACGGCTATAAATGAATCTACGGCTATAAATGAATTATTACTATTTTATTAAAACGGGTTTCTTTTCACATCACTGAAAAGGTGCTTCTTTGAAACAATGTTCTGGAACTGGTTAATCTGTACAGGAGAGCAACAGTGGCTCAAGGGACAGAGCGTTCACCTTCCAATGCGACGAACCGAGATCGAATCCCAATCGATACGAATCCCGCTTCCGACTTGCAACGACCACAGTGCTGACGTGAAATATTCTCATTGGTAGACGGATGAGTCCCCTTGCCACAGGCTAACCGTGGGAGGATCTCGTGGTCTTCCTGTCCATGTAACGCAATTACTGGTTAGCTCCACCAAAAAGTACTCCACGAAGGCAAATTTCTCCCAATACTCTATCCAGGAGTTTCCTTGTCTTCTGAATTGGATTCAAAATTACAAGGCTACGGAGTTAAACATTAGTAGTTGTAAACCCATAAGATTTGGTCGGCTGTTCAACGGCTGCTATTAAAAAAAGTATCTAGGGAGGCAAAATACATTTAATATATACATTACAACTTTGAAATATTCGAACTATTAAAGAACTATCTTTCCACATGAATCTCTTTCCCTCAAATTGATTAATTTTAAGGAATCAAAATATTGAATGGAGACATTGAACATTTTAATGACAATTCTGTTTTCCAAAGTCTGTCTGCGTTGATGTACTTCGTTAAACGATCTTCATTAAACGATCTTCAAAAATAGTAACAATAAATAAAAAAATAAATAAAAATCATGGCAAAAATTGATCGGTTGCTTATTTAAGCCGCCACTTTTATTGGCGACTAGTCACATGGCGAGTGACGAGCGATTATTCTCACATCTACTGTTGAGTAAAGAATTTCGCCACATGCTTCAAGGCTATATTTATTTCAAATTGTTCTTTTTAATATTAATAAAGCACCTTCGATTTATTTTAAAATAAAGCAATCATGCATTCTTTTGTCTTACACAAATAATTGTTACGCAATTTTGTCTGGAATTTTTTTAATTCACAAAGGATTAATGTAATGGTTTGGAATATTGCAAAACATATTAATCTATTAATTATACGGTTTCTTTTGCACATTTATAATTAATTCTTCAGATTTAAAAGACTATTTTTTTCACTATTTATGTAGCTTTACTATTATATTCTACTGTTTTCTTTTCAGTTTACCACTTGTTTAGCTATTTACTGTAAGACATTGCGTAATTCTACATACTTACACTCGCAAATCTGTGTTTTTGGATTATATACATAGTTTTCCTTGCAGAAGCACGTTTTCACACCGCCGTAGAAATCACATTTTGTCCACGTTTCAGGCTTTCCACAGTTGCATTCTGAAATAATTTTTCGCATTTTAATAAATAATATTATATTACTGATTTATTGCGAGACTCAGATGAATCGCATTTTTAATCTTATCATTCAATATCATGAACAGGTTAAAAAAATTTAAGTTTTAGGAATTTTGACCAAAATATTTATTGGATTATGTATCGACAAAAAAATTTAATTAATAACTTTACCTGATTATAATCAGCAGTATTTGCCATCGAAGGCGGCACCAACTAATTCATTCACAAGTAATATAGTGTCGAACTTAAACAGTGAACGTTTTTAAGTTTTGATAATATCTAGGATGACGATATTTGTGAAGGGACCGGGATAGCTTGGTTGGTAGGGCACTGGGCCCATGCCAAGAGTTCGTAGGTTCGATCCCAGTCAGCTTGTTTGTCGACCCTGATTGGTTTCTGAATCGAAAAACCTCATGATTTAAGCACGATAACATCACTTACAATTGTCCAATTCAGTAGAGCTGAATTGCTAATGGTACTTTTCCCATTCATTGAGTAAAGTAGATTCTTGAAGTATAGCAATGTAATACTGGAATTTAGGCAAAAATACAAGTAAAGTCTGCTTAACAAACTCTATTTACACACCGGTGGATCGTATAAAACGTTGAATAAAAAGACTATATAAGTAAAAAAGTACATATTCTAAACAAGATACGTTTTCTTTTTTCCGGAGGTAAAATGCATGTAATGGTGCGTAAATGTATAAAGTGTTTTTCGTTCAGCATTTTATTTAGAATTAAAAATAGTATAAAGATAAAAAAACAGTGCTAATACAGCTGTGAATGTCGTACGTTAAATCGAAAAAAACAATCTTAACATTTCTTTCGACATTTGACGCATAAAAATTGGTCAAAATTCATACTCAATCCAAAATATAAGGTATAAAAGTGTTAGATTTGAATTATGTTGCCTAAAAATGAATTAATTGATTTCAAAGTTTTCTTTCACCTTATGATGAAGCTTACTTCTTGATGAAGGGATAAAGGGCCACTTCGGAATAACGCACCCCGGCCTACTGCCACGACAGGGACTGATACGGAACGATGTCAAGCTATACATTTTCACTTCAATTGTTTCAATTGCAACTTGAGTATCAATTTCTATTTAAAAATTTCTAAGTCCGTGTTAAGCGTTCCTTGAAAAGTCTTATAACATTACGATTCAAATGTATCAATGCAGTAGCATATTATCTTATTAAGGAGTTTTAATAGAAATAATATATCATTCAACTAGGTCCAGCTGTAAAGACAATAGGAAGCTTAAAGATAATTTGGACAAAATTTAAAAAATAAAATCGAATATTGGTATTTTAATAAATCAATGACTTAAGCTGTACTCTTTTTCTTTAAAAGAAAATAAAAGAAAAAACAATAGCAATTTTTAAATTTTAGTCAATAGTACAGAGATAGAACTAATTTTAATACTTCTGAAGGAGCCATGATGGCTCAAGGGATAGAGGGTTCACCCCCCAATGAGGTGAGCCTGGTACGATCCCTGCGAGGGCTGGTAGAAACGAATTCGGCAGCCATCCGCATCCGCCTTGCACCGAAAACAGTACTGACGCAAAATATCCTCAGAGGTAGACGAATCATGAAGCCCGGTGGCTGAGTGGTAGTTCTTCGCGCTCCCGTCCCACAAGTCCTGGGTTCGATATTCGGGCCGGGCAAGGTTTACTCAGCCTTTCATCCCTTTAGTTTGTCGATAAATGAGTACCAACCATGCTTGGGAACTAAACACTGGAAGTTCCGTTTTCGGCTGACCACCTGTTCGGAACATCTGCTCCTGTACCCCAGAAACCAAGGTCAAGAAAACTGAGATGGGCACAGTAGGCCTTGGCCCTCTACGGTCAGTCATGCCACTGAGTTTAGTTTTAGGTAGACGAATCATGGATTAGGGTCCCCTTGCCGTCAGGTTAACTCTGGGAACTTTCAGTGGCTTTCCTCTCCATGTTAAGCAAATGCAGGTTGACTCCATCAAAAAGAGCTCCATGAACTCAAATTTCTTCCAATATTCGATCCAGGAGTTCTGTTGTCTTTTGGATTGGATTCAAAATTACAAGGCTATGGAGTTGAACATTTGTAGTCGCAAACCCCAAAAAATTGGGTCGGCTGTTCAACGACGATTGTAAAATACTTCCGCAGCCTATGCTGAAATGTCCGAAATGTTACGGTCCTTAGCGTGATTTTGCCCTACTAATCTTAAATTATGATCAAAACTCAACACGGAAAAAACTATGACAACATCGAGGTTGACTCTTGAAAATAGTTAAAATTGAAATGATAGTACGTCAGTGCGGGCAATAACTAAAAGATGAATAAAATTGGTTAGTGTATTGTTTAAAACTAATGAAAGTGTTACAATTGGTGAAGGAGTTAAAAAATAAGAACATTTAAATGCAGTTGTGCTACTCACTACGCTTGGTTATCATTAAAGTTTATATGATGTAAAAGTTAATTTTGAAAGGTATCCAAGCTATTCGCCAAAAGGCAGCTAATTTGATAGTAAAATGGTAAAAGAGTTGTGTTTACCTTTGCAAGTATTACTTTTATCTTCATATACTTCACCTTTTTTTGGACATTCACAATAAGCGTTTAATTTTTTAACATCATACTTGCACTTGGCAGGAGCATCAGATTTGCAGCAACAATAGAGTCCTCTAACTTTAGCATACTCTTCATACAAATAGGAGTTCCAGCAAGTCACGTGTATTTTTTCGCAAAATGTTCCTCTCGTTCTTGGAGGGCATGTGCAAATTCCATTATGGCACGTTCCTCCATTTTCGCATATTTTTGATTCATTGCATATTTCTAAAATGGAAAGAAAAATGAATTAAAATGATTAAATGAGAATTAAAAAGTCTTGAAAATAGCTAAGAAGCAACTAAGTGTTAATAACTTCTTTAATTTTCAATAAATTACAATGGGGGACAATTTTATTTTTATTTTCTGTAGTATGAAATTCTTAAACGGATCTTATAAATTATAGCCTGACTTATTTCAAATCTGCACTTATCTCTCAACATATTACAGATTTTATTTAATTTGCTGATTTCAGAAGTTTTGTATGATATTTTAAAATTCCCTCAAGTGATTACTACTTCTCTGACACGCAGGGAGTGGTAGGAAGAAGGCTATAACACATTTCAGCATATGATACGATACGTTAAGGACATATTGCTTTGCCTTCAGTGCTATTAAGAGGAAAGGAGTTTTCAAGTTGTATATCTATGAACATAAACCTATACGCTATTTATAAGCTTGTACATTCAGACAAAATATTAAACTAAATAATACTAAATAAACTAAGTAAACTAAGTAATACTAAATAAATTGAGTAAACTAAGTAAGACTAAATAAATATAAAATATATTTTTGAAAAAATCAGTAGCGGAATAAAATAAATTCAGATTTGAAACCCCCACACCAGAACTGGGTAATATCTGGTATTTGTAAAATGGAAACGGAAAATTTGTTTCCCAGTGTTATTAGTAATGTATTTTCACAGTGCTTTTTCACGATTCCTTTCGGGCAAGGAAAAGAAATTTGATTTAGCCGATTATAAGAGAAAACAGTTTATAAATTATATTCTATTTTTAGGAAATTAACAGCAATTACTGTGTAATTCTCTTTAAATATAATTTATTTAAATTTTTTCAATCAAAATGCGATCACCACTATAAGTTGGGAAAACATTACAGAATTTATGTTTCAAAATTTTTTTGTCTTAAAACTTTTTAAAATAACAAATAATTGCAAAAAAAAAGGAAGCGATAGAATAAAAAGATGCTTTGAGTCTACCATTAAGATTAGTTCCTTTAATCTAGCTGCCAGGGCTCGAAAAAATTCAAATTTTTGCATTTCCTGAAGGATATATTATTCCACAGAATACACGCCCGAACATCTTAATAAAAAGTATTTACAGGGGAAAAGAAATACGCAGATAAGCTAAATTTTTATTTCAATTTAATAAAAAACTAAATTGAATGGAGTTTATTGACGGAACTAACAGATGTTATTACCGAATAATTCCTCTAAAGTTCCAGACGGTAGTTGACAGTAGTTTTTCAATTTGTCAGTTATAAAAAAATCTTTCTAAATATTTTAAATTATTTTATTTCATGTAATCTTGCAAGTAACTTTTTTCCTAAAAATACTTATAGTCCTAACTACTTAGAAATTTAGGATGTATTTTTCCAATTAAAATGCTTAACCAAAGAATAGAAAGTAATAAAGCATTTCACCGAGGAATAGAAAGAATTACCTGTGCATACTTCATTTATTCCAGGAACATATCCGTCTTCGCAAGTACAGACTTTCAAGCCATTTATAAATTCAGTTTTTGTTGAGTGGTTACCGCAAAGATTCTCTGGAGAAAAAAAATCTTATTCTAATATGACAATAAAAGCGAAGCAATACATAAATAAAGTTCTTGATCGTAAATAGATTCATCCATAAGACGTTTTTGTTTATATGCCGTCATTATATCTGTTCACATCTTAGATTGCTTCGAACTTTCATGGAAAGGCATCTATATTTCCCCCCTAATGGTCATTGGATTCACAGAACTGGTCCAACGCCTCCTATAACTGAAAGCCTCCACACGGTTTTTTATAGATAGTCTGATCAGACCACTGTGAAGGATATCCACTTACAGAACGAGTCACTTAATACAAAATCTAATTGAAATAAGAAAATGGTAGCAAATATATGACTAAAAATTTGTTTTATTTATGAATATTAATGGTTTGCCTTATTCATTTGTCAACCACTACAGATTCAATTCTCAAATATATATGATGAATTTCCCTCAATTACTTTTATGAAACTGCCAAATAAAATCAAAACACTAGGACTAGGACTTTTATGAAAGGATACCTCGAAGGGAGGCGAGGCAGTCTGCCACAAAACCTCTTCTCTCTCTCTCAAACTTGTTTGTTCAATCTCACTACTTCATTTTAATTTTCTCTCAGTAAAAGATACTGAACCCCAACTTTCACCTTTCAGTTGCGCTTCGGCGATTTATTAGTAGTTTCTTAGAAAAGGTACNCATGCGCACAACTGGTTCACTTTTTAAATAGTCTGCTCGGACTACTTATAAAAAAACCGTGTGGAGGCTTTTGATGTAGGAGGTGATGACTGGTCTGACCAGACTGGAGATTAGTAACAACAACAGTTCTTGTTCGTTATAAGGAAATGTTTCATTATATGAAGATCACCCAACAACTCAAATGCTTGATGAATTGTAGCACCACAAATTTGTAAAAGATACTGTGAAAACTCATTTCAACATAGAAATAGTGCTTGCAATTACAGATTATGCCCAACAATTCTCCGTGAGAACTTACCACTAGGTACAAAAATGGTTAGGCAATGAAAAAGACTCCTTGCAAATGGGCAACGCCTCCTATAACTGAAAGCCTCCTAACGGTGTCTTACAGATTGTCCGATCAGACAACTATGAAGGTATACCCGTTTTCGAAAGAGCCATTTGTTAGAAAATTTAGCAAAAATAAGAAAGTAGAAGCAAACATATAAGTGAAAAAAAATTTTGATTTATGAATATAATTAGTTTTATTTATGAATATGATTAGTTTTATTTATGAATATGATTAGTTTTATTTATGAATATGATTAATTTTGATTTGCTCGTTAAGCGCTACAAATTCAATTCTCAAATATATATAATAAATTTTTCTCAAATACTTTTTAAACAGTAATTGGGTATATGCGCACAACTGGTTAGCCTTTTAAAAAGTCTGCGCAGACTACTTGCGTGAAGGTTCTTTGATGTGAGAGGTGATGCAATTTATATGGATGCAGAGTCTTTTTCCTGTGAAAAGACTGCATCCAACCGGAAACAAGAATCCTTCAGCATTCTTTCTCGAATGCATTTTCTTACAAATAGTTTGCATAAATGCACGTGATTGCAGAAAGGGAAGTCTTAAAAGTTGTTCTAATCTTTGAAAACATTGTAAGGGTTGCCCTGCCAAAATACAAAAAAAAAATCGTTTTGGAAAATGAGGGTAAAGAATAGGGTGCTGTATCACACGATGAAAAAATTTATTGGATTGCATCACCTGAAGAACATATGGGTTGTGATGGATTGCAAGCAATAGGATATTATTTATGGAATAGTGCAACTTAATGACAGTCAAAGCAATGAGGAACATCTCCAAGGCTCTTCAAAACATATAAAAATTTGAGTCATTAAAAGTAAACAAGGTATGTAAGGTCGATTAGCTTTCAATATTTGGACATAGCTTATAATGCATGTTTAAGAAAATGGACACAACTCGACATTCGCGATTAAAACACAGTTCGAAAAGTGCGTTCAGGAAAAAAGGAGACTGATCAGCAAAATGCGTGTTCAAGAAAATGAATGCAACTCAAAATGCTTGAGTAAAAAAAAAAAAAAATAGATAAAATTCGCGTTTAAGAAAAAAATATATTGCTGTTAAACTCATTAATGTCCAGTCGCAAAACATGATCTTTAAAAGAAAAACACTTATATGAATAAGTTGAGCATTTATTTGTTGAGTGCAAGTTGATACTTTTCTCTACTATTTATCACTTTAGCACCTTCTACTACTTAGCACTACCTGAAAAATCACTGCGCAATCAAATAACTTCAGATCGAATTACAAATATTTTCATTATTATCTCGCGGTAAGGATATCTATTTTAGTTTCTGTAAAACAAATTAAAAAAACTAGTCACTTGGTTCACTTTTTAAATAGTCTGCGCGGACTACTTCTAAAAGACCGTGTGGAGGCTTTTTGTTGTAGGAGGTTATGGTTCTACGCACTAAAAGCACTTTTAAATAAAAATTCAAAGCTAAACCTAGCAAATAAAAGAACAATATACCTACAAGCTATCCGACCAATTCTTACCTACGCTAGCCCCGCCCTAACCACTATCAGTGATAATTTAAAGAAAATATTGTCATACACAGAAGGAAAATTTTTAAGATACATGACTGGTGCCCCAATAGCTATCAGCAACAGACTGCTAAGGAAGGATCTACTAAAGGAGAAGAAATTAACTGCTTCATTGCCAAACTCAACTTTAAATTCTCTAGTAACGCTAGAAACTGTACGGCCTCGAACTTCAATCGTTTGCTAGACATCAGCTTAACCAGTTAACGCCCAGCGTCATATATTTAGGACAGTTCCTTTTTTTCAAAAACATTCATTGAGGTGGGAAACTTTTTCCAGCATTTTCATTTATCTGGGTGAATTAAGAGATTCTCACATACCACAATGATTTAGTTATTTCTGATTAGATCTAGAATTATAAGGAGCAAGTACTTTTAGATCTATCAAGGCCTTTTGAATGCCCTAACAGTAAAAAAAAAAAACAATTAATTTCGAAAATATATTATACCACTTTTTCCATAAAACCACTTTTTGTATCATTTCAATGTATAAATTCGGGACAAAACGGGTTAATAGACGACAACATTAAATATAGCCCGGTAACCGCATTCCTCACGTCAGATTGTATCATAGCAAAATATTACAAATGATAATATCACTCTCTTCCTTTTTTTATTACCAGTATAAGCTTATTTCTTCATGACTTATGAGCACAGAACAATCCAGTATAAGATGCCGAGGTATAATATCAGTAAAATACCGAGGTACCCTACATATCCAGCAGATCGAAATACAAATATTTTCATTATTATCTCATGCAAGGATATCTCATACCTGCCAACTTTTAATCTTTTCCATTATCATTTTTCCCAGTGGTATTAAAATGGAAATAAAACTTCAATTTTAAGCAAGCAAATACGTTGAATTTGAGAAACCTTAAGTTGACAACCATAATAGTAACGCATATTAATATATGTGCTTAATTTTTGTAAGAATAGTGGTGATCAAAATCATTTAAAAATTAAGTTTATAAAAGAAAAAAAAGTATATATCTACTACCACTTTAAATATAAAAATAAAATCTTCCGGAAAATCTGGAAGAGTTGGCAGATATGATATCTATTTTAGTTTCTGTAAAACAAATTAGAAAAACTAGTCACATGAGATACCAATTTTTATTTTTTCAAACAATGTAACCATCCTTATGTAAGGTACAAATGGGTTAAGATAATAGACACCGCATTTGATCCCGTTTATGAAACAGCTACTTCAGCAATTGCATTTTAAAAAGATTAACTACAGATGCAGATAAATATGCAACTCACAAATCTATAAGTTGCCCAAAGTAAAATGAAATAGACAAGACTTCATAACTTTAATATAAAGTTTTAATAATAATGTAGTAAAAGGCAATCCAATTGTTTCAAAAGAATCACTTAGAGATGCCACTTTGCTCCGCTTTTTTTAAAAAAAAATTCCATTTGATAACGAAATTTAAGTAATTTTTTAAAGTTCTTTGCAACCACTTCATATTATAAATTCAAATTATTATATAAACAGCTACTTCAGCAAATTTAGTAAATAATTAATTGCATACTCTTTACTAGTGCTACGATTCCACCAACAGGCGTTGTGATTGTAGCTAATACATACCCTCCAACTGCTACGGAATTTCCGTAGTTTCAGAAATCTTCTTTTCAAGCGGTAGCAAAATTAATGTCTTCATATTTAAAAAAAATTAATTTTAACGTAACTTGTCCACTATTACTTATAAAAGTGCANTTTTAGTAAATTTAGTAAATAATTAATTGTATACTCTCTACTAGTGCTACGATTCCGCCAACAGGCGTTGTGATTGTAGCTAATTGCTCAAAATTGTATTACTATTCTATATCGTGCTTGTAATACCCGTTTTTTTAACTGTGTCCAAAACGCATGATGAAAATTTATGAGGCCCTGAAAGTCTTGAGCAATAATGTGACTCTGTAATTATTACGTGGTGACTAAAAAAGTAAGCGTAATTATTCTTTACGTTTTAATATTTTTAATTCGTTACCAATTTATTAAAACTTTTGCAGAAAGCGAAGTAATTCGCATCCATGTTAATATCATACCAACCAACAACTACGGAATTTGCGTAGATTCAAAAGATATGTTTCTTATTCATAATAACCTCTTCGAGACGGGCGAGTCATATATGCATTCTCAGGGTGTCACAATCTCGGTAAAAAAGATAAAACTGGTAGCCAAGCCATTTTTATAGCAGTTCATTAGTGGGCGGGGTAATAATAGTTTTCTTTATTTATGTCACCAAGACTTAGTTCAAATTAAAAATTATATAGTTGAGCTTTTAACAAACATCAATTGGATTGTATTAGATTTAAAGAGAACGCAGAAATAAGGTGTTCGAAGTAGCAATGCCCAAGCTTAAGCTACCGATTTTATTTTTTATTTCCATCCTGTTTCCGATTCGAAACGAATGTATTTATGACTCATCAGCCCCGAAAAATTTTATGGTAATGTCTCAATCTTTTAAAAAATTTTGACCATTACAAAAAGCAGTTTTGATCATCACTGATTCCGTAACTATGTAAATAATTTTAAAAAATTATTTAAATAATCTAACAAGAAATCAAATTTCCTTTTCTTAAATTCTGATAAAAAAAGTTCATAAAAGTGCTGTTTGCAATTTAAAAAGAAAATTTGAATTAGTTTTCGAGCACAGGAAAAAGTATTTGATCAAAAGTTTATTTTATATTACGTGTTTAAGATGTTTAGGGTATGCAGGTCTGAAAGTCAATATGTACCAAGACGGAAAACAGCAAAAACTGGTTATCACAGAGATGCCAACTTACTCCGGGCAGCAAATATATATTTTAAAGTGGTAGTTTATCAATTGTGATTCTTTGTTTAATAAATTCAATTTAGTAGATTTTCATACACCACTATTTCTAAATAATTAGTAAACTTATATAATTCACCACTTTAAGTTAATTGTGTCATGCAATACCCGTTAAAAAGCAAGCAAATATAGTCAAATATTTGCAAAATTTACTTTGCGGCTATTTACCGTTTTTTTTTAATTATTTTGGCGTGTCCGGAGCAGTTGGCATCTCTGGTTATCAGTAAAACTGACATTTTTTTCGAGAAAGATCAAATTTCTGTTACTACCAAGATTATTTTACAATTACACCATACAGATAAAACTGTTAAGATTTTGTTCAATAGCTAAGACGAGAGTTAAAAATCAACAAAATAGATGAGCACATAGCTGAACTATGTGCAAGTTTCTTCAGAGAAGCACTCTCTTGTCATACGTGCAATTACTTTAAAAATTTTGATTTTGAGCTCATCAAAGACAACATAAAATATAGCCCCAGGCAAACGCCTTTTTCCTATCCGACGGAGTTTTGTCCCGTAAATTTTGTAAATACTTGTAAATAATTTTTGCGCATTTATTATGTATTTCTCCTTTTCTCTAAGGCTATGTGGCTACTGTGCACCTGAGAAGCTCGGGGGTAATACCTCGAGGGGAGGCGAGGCAGTCTGCTACAAAACCTTTTCTCTCTCTTAAACTGATGGTTTGTTCAATCTCACTACTTTATTTTAATTTTCTCTCAGTAAAAGATACTGAACCCCAACTTTCACCTTTCAGTTGCGCTTCGGCGATTTATTATTTATTTCCATTCAGATGAATTAGTTAGAGCTCCTAGCGGGGCTGATGCTAAGATAACCATCACATATGAGTATGAGTTGTTCAATAATTAAAAAAAAAGAAATGGCTTTGCTCCTCTTGAAAGCGAGCAATTAAGGCAATTTTTTTTTTAAGTTTCAGCTTTCTCCTTCCAAAGTTTTTGGAAAAATTCTTATAGTGGTAGCCAACTTTATGCGTTAATCCTTCTTTCATAAAATTGATTTTAAGTAATTTTTCATACCACGAGCTTGAAAATGATTCGAAAACTTAGATTAAAAGCTTTGTATTCCAACCTTCTCGTTGGAAAACTTGTAAAATGTTGACGAAATTACCAAAATTTCATTAAGCTTTAGTTTTTTATTGTCTATCACTCATTAAAATATTTTTTTTCTTCTTTTTTTTTAAAAAAAAGCGTAGTGGTTGGCAACCTTGATATGGTAATTACTAAGTAAATAAAATGTATTAAGTTACGAAATGTATCTCTAAAATGCATTTTCTCTGAATAAACTAATCTTTTTGTGCCAAATTCGGATTCTAAACCTTTAAAACAAGAAAAGGACTGTAATCCGAAAAATATAGTCACAATAGTTTTTCCTGGTAAGTGCTCAAAAGCTTGATCCCCTTCAAGGTAATTTCAATTTAACTTTGTGCGCATACTACTACTTTTGCATAGGAAACTACTTCAGTGAAAAAAAAATTTCAAAGCTTTTATATTTAAAAATAATTTTCGGTCAGATAAAATTTTATATTTAACGACAGAGAACTATTTATTCCGGACACAGAACAAAATAAATCGCACTTTTTTAAAGAACAAACTAATGTATGCAATTAAATTGGAATCTGACGTCGTTTATTTGCTTAAATAACCTAGAGCATTTTTTTAATTAGTTTAAGAGGTAATAATTTAAAAGTTAACAGTTCTTTTTATAAGATTGTCACGAGTCCTATAAATTTATAATAATGGTACTAAATAACGAATTTAGATTTTCAAAAACTACTTCATCGTGTAGCATTTTGAATAAAAAGAGTCAAATATACCCAGTGAAAAGTCAAATATACTCAGTCACTCCGATCTAGATATTCGAGACTTTGCCCCGTAATGATATTGCTTAGGGGTTAAAAAAGTTTTAAAAATAAATACGAAATCGATCGATTACTTGTCAATTAGGGTTAAACATTGGTTGAAAAGAAGCATTTTTTGCCGTATACTTTTCTTAAAGACGTATTTTGAGCTGTGTCCACTGCTTTGTGCTGAGCTGTTTCAATTTTCTTCACTGCCCCTTTCGAGCTGTGTATACTTCCTTAAACACGTATTTTGAGCTGTGTTCACTGCTTTGTGCTGAGCTGTTTCAATTTTCTTCACTGCCCCTTTCGAGCTGTGTCCACTTTCTTAAATATGTTTTTTGAGCTACTTCAATTTTCTTAAACATCCATTTTGGAGCTGTTTCTATTTTTCTTTAACATACTTTTTGGACTGTTTCAGTTTTCTTAAACACTCTTTTTGAGCTGCATGTATTTAATAACTTAGTTCGGAAATCACTTTTTTTTCCTTCTTACCCTGAAAATGTCACTTGATTCATCCATTTTGCTCTTATAGTGTCATTTTGGTTGAAGTAGCTGTTCTGCACGCGCCGCACCTAGACTCGCTAAATATTGGACATAAGTAACTTTTGTTTCCTTCTCTCTTTTAATTTCTCCGTGAATCATAGTCACCGGGTTTCACCTACACCAAATCACGATCTGACCACCTATCGAATGTGGTGCCATCTATCGCGATATCTATACCTAATGTCTTCTTCCCTTAATTTGAAGTTTCGTGAGCGCACTTAGTGTTACCTGTACTCCTATGGGGTCTGGTGAGGGTTAAGCTACGCTTACAGTGTTATTTATCGTTCGTTCGTTGTAGTGGAACTGGGCGTCTGAGGCCTTACGGCCCTTTTCCCATTCATTTTGAAGTTAAACTTAGAAACATGCATGACAAAATTAAAGTTTGGGGAGCAAATGGAGTTCTTGAGAAAAGCAAAATGGCACTTTACCATTATTAGGCAATGACAAAATTGTAAGTAATAAAAATGTACATGAAAAAGGTAAAATTAAAGTACAATGGGAAAATAAACACTAATGAATATTTACAGTTTGGAAATACATACAAAAGGGGGCGAGTTAAAGGATTGTGAGGATGTGTGTATATGTGTAAGTAAATGTGGCTCTGTTAAGTAGAGACCCGGCCGTCAGTGAGTGTTTGTGTTGTTAAATGTTAGTATGATATCAGAAGTGTAGAAGTGTGCAATGGGTCGAATTTTTGCATCCTCTTTGAGATTTATGCAGTCGAAAATATCATTAAAATTTGCGGTATTGCAGGTGGCGGCTTTAATAAAGAAGTTTCTATTTAATTTGTTGAAATGATGGTCAAGGCGGTCAATGTTAAGATCTCTATAAATGGTGTTGTTGCGGATGAACCATCTGGCTCCCGTGAGTTTTCTCAAGGTGTTGTTTATCGTGTTTTATTTTTTTAAAAAAAGAAGTTACTTTTTACAGATAAAGGTGGTAGCACAATTATTTCATTATTCAGCTACTAAGCGTAAGCATAAGTGTTTCTCATCATTATTTGAATATTAACACGGTAAATAACTTCAAACTTTATTTGCAAACATGAGAGAGATCTTGCCAGTTTTTTTAGAAAGTTAAGCAAGGCATATCCAGAGATGCCAACTGCTCCGGACACACCAAAATAATTAAAAAAAACGGTAGATAATTACAAGCAAATTTTGCAAATATATGACTATTATTGCTTGCTCTTAAAAAGGTGCAGCAAGACATTAGTACAATAAAGTGGTGAATAATATAAACACACGAATTATTAAGTGGTGGATAAAAATCCACTAAACAGAATTTGTTAAACCAAGAATTACAATTGATAAACTACCACTTTAATATATATATTTGCTGCCCGGAGCAAGTTGGCATCTCTGAATATCTGAAAAAAGTGGTGATTTATATAACATTACAAATTGTTTAGAAATAGTGGTATATAAAAATCTACTGAATGGAATTTATTAAACCAGGAATCACAATTAATAAACTACCACTTGAAAATATTTACTCACTGTAGGGAGAAAGTTGGCATCTGGGGATCACTAAATATAGTATAAACTATGAATTTTGGCTTATTAATTTTTAGTGGTCGCATCTGTTTTTTTTTAACCACTGAAAAGATATTTTTAACGAATATAATGATCTAATATAATAAAAGAAATTTAATAATTTTTCCCTTTGTTTTAAATTTTTAGCGTCAGAATTTTAAACATTTTTATACATTTAATTAAAAAAATTTGGCGAATTAATATACCTATCTTCTTATTTTCTTTGTGTACGGCTACAAAAAAATGAAAACAACTTACCATCTGCTTCTAGGACAGCATTAGAAATATCATAATTACATTCCTTTATTGAGTTTTCATTTTTAATTTCTATATCTGTATATCTATTTTTCATATTTAGTTCTTTTCCATAGTTTTTTGAAATGTACACCACAACCATGTATAAAACAATGTAAAATATTTTGCAAGAAATCATGTTTTTCAAAAAAATAAAGCTCTAGTTAGATGTATATTTTCGAAACTGAAGTGGGGAAGTTGGACTAAAGGTGTTCATCAAAATGCAGTGTTTAATAGAAAGACTGCAATCAAAGAACAAAGGGTTTTATCAGAATGAGTTTTTATCTCGGTTTATATCTTTAAATAGAAGATAAAAAAAAACTGTTATTGAAAATATTTTAGTGTTCTTACCGAGAATGTTTTTTTAGTAAATTCAGTTTATTTAGTCTTTTATTTTTAGGCTCCTCCGGGAAGCGTCTGGCGATTTTTGGTAGATGTCACATGGACAAGTCTAAATAGATCAGAGTAATTGAAAGCATATCGCCAGCGTAAATGTTCTAGAAAATGGCATTCTGAAAAAATTGGATCCCAATGAAACGAATCAACCAAAGCAATGAGAAATGATTTGGAAAAGTAAATGATTCATCAGTGAAGTATTGGCCTCGAATGTCTTGTAGTAGACATTCCTTCAAAAGTTGTCAGAGGTGGGAGGGAATGCGAGAATTCTTCCACGATGTTCACCAAACCCTGATTTTAAATGAGTATAATACAAGAAGGGCAGCAAAATTCTGCGCTTTTCATAATATCTCTTATAGATTGATAAATAGTCATATTTTTATTTAAATATGTATATATATAATTACATACATAATTACATACATATATAATTTCAAAATGAAGATAAAACAAAGGAAAATTACAGACGTATGAAATGACATATGAATTACAGACATATAAGGGGGGGAGGATAACATTTTTTTAAAAAATCCAGAAAATAAAAGATATAATCTTTGCATCAGCCCACACGATTATATCCGCAAAAAAGAGTGCTTGCGGATATAATCGTGTGGGCTGATGCAAAGATTACATCTTTTATTTTCCGGATTTTTTAAAAAAATGTTATCCTCTTTTTTCCCCCAGTTGTTTGTTATTTTTTATTATTATTTTTCTTTTCCTCCCTTTTTTCATATGTCTTTAATTTTCCTTTGTTTCATCTTATTTTTGAATTTATCTTATGAGTTCTGTTTACTTGCAGCTTATGCGCAATAAACGAAACTTATTGTTTTTCTTAATTTTCTTCGTGTTTTTTTGTATTTATTTTGCTCTATACATTACTTTCTTAAACATCATAAAATTAAACAACAGCCCATAGACTCGACTCGAAACTAATGGAACAGCTGAACTTTTAAGACTAACCATTATAACACGTTTAAAGTGTAAAATTAATGATTCTTCTAAAAAGCTTATTTGGCCTAAATTATTAAAAGAAGTAACTGAAGAATATAATCTAACTGCACGTTCGGTAACTAAATTTCCACCAGCTTGTTTAATATTTAGCACTGTCTCATTTAATCATCCTTTATTAGAAGAAATTTATCCACCAATAGAAGAAGCTAGAAAAATTGCTATTGAAGGAACAAAACAATATCATGAAAAAAAATTATTATGATGCAGGATTCACTAATATCGAATTTTTTCCAAATTATACTGTAATGTATGAAGATTTTAATTATCCCAATACTTGGAAACTTACACCAACTTTTTCCAGTCCACACATAATTCTTGAAAAGATTTCTGATGTTAATTATAAAATAAATAAAAAGAATACTCATAATAAACAAAATACAGAAATAGTTCATATATCAAAATTGCGAATGTATCTTCTGACACAAACTGAAATTATCTCATGAATAATAAACAAAGGTAATAATTTAAATAATATTGTGGTTTAATAATAGAAATAATTATATTTTATATTAAACTAGGAGGCTCCGCCCCCTGCTCGCTAACGCTCGCCAACCCCCGAGAATTGCTACGCAATCCTATGTGGTTCACGCCGTGAACCATGGCTCGCTGCGCTCGCTCGCCAATGAACACAATGCTCTAGCACAAAGACATAATATATTATCATCAAAGACATAGTATTTTATCATCAAAGACACAGTATTGTACTTATGTAGAAGAATTCTACCAATGTTCTTATTGGCTTTTAAAAAAGTATATTAGCTATTTAGATTGTACATGGTGAAAAAATCAAAACATTAGCTAAAT